CAAGTGAGGAAATCAAAGTCACTCTCTAAAAATTATCTTCTCTGTCCCCTTTTCCTGTCTTCTGAAACCACTGAGGGGAAGGGGGAGAGTTGGAGGCAAGCATTCGGTGCCTACTCTCCTTTCAAAGATAAAATAAAATCAGACCTCCAGGAGTTGGGTGCATTTTGGTCCGCGACAAAGCCCCGGGGCAGGCGAGCCTTCCTTCAAGGCTGGCAGGCGATTTGGAGAGGACGCTTATTTACCTGCTCCCTCCGAGGCACACAGAGTCCCTCAGAATGTGGCCCGATAATTCAAGATGAAACATAGCGCGTATTCCTCTCGAAAAGAGGAATTTTCTATTCTTTCCTCAGTAATTGAGGTCATTCAAGCACCAGGGTTCACCTGGAGTCCATACCGTGATACACGCGAAACTCGACGCTATATTTTATCTTTTGTGTTGATAGCCTGCATCTCGGCTGTAACATTGACATCAAACTCTGTCTGGGCAGATGACGAAGAGTGGTGCACAATGTAAACTTTTGACCCTCAACTTTTTGACCCGCAGTTGTAACGACCTAACCACAAAGATATACAAAAGCGATGCCTCTTATTTCTTTGAGGACCGAGAGGGAGCCCTGTTTGTTTTTAAAAGTTCTGCTGTTCCCCCCTCTTCTGAAAGTAAATTTGGGGAAAGAGAGAAAACTTACACACACACACACACACACACACACACACACACACAAACATACACACATACATACATACATATATATTCTCTTTCATTATTGTATTTGCTGTCAAATCCGTTTCCCAACTCTTTCGTCAACGCTGAGACGAACTAGATTAACTCCAAGGCACTAGTGATTCCATTTGCAAGGGAAATATTGGGTAAGTTGGGGGAACACTGAAAAAAGCGAAAAGAGAGAAATGATGGGGGGAAAGTGGTGGCCCGGACTTCCATTCGTCATTTTTCCTTTATTTAAAAATAAAGACACAACAAACCTAATTGTTTGGGAAAGCTTGCCTAGGCAAAGGAGTTGACTGTGAACTTGGTCTGAAGCGAGCTCTGCTGGTGATTCCTAGGGTGTGCAGATTTATCTTTTCTGCATTTACTTAACCCGGCAGTGAACTTCGCTGGCTGTCATTTGTTTGGCGATGACAGACTTCACCTCAAGCAAGGACTGTTTCACAAAATCGCAATAATTACCCAATAACCTTCATAACAAATATTATTATTGAAAAGACCGTTAAGGGAAGAAGAGGAAAAGGCAGAGAGGGAGAAAGGTGGACTCCTGGTGTAAAACCCCAAAAGGGGGACCCTGCTCCCCATCTTTGTGGCTTTCAATGGGGTGTTCTGTAGATCCACCATCTAGAGGCATGTCAGAAGAGAATGAACAAGAGTCTGCTCTGGGAGGCCTTTCCTGGGTGACTAGAGAAAGCTCCATTGTTGACCAAGAGGAAATCTCCTGTAGATGGTCTATATTGTCCTCTTCATGAAAGGGCAAACCAGGGATTACCTATAGCTTAGGCATGAAAGACTAAGGCCCACTCAAGCTGAAAGGTTTATTTTCCTCTTTAACACTCTATAATCCACAGTGTGATATATTCCTGCATTACTAATTATTTGGAAATGGTACTAGTTTGAACTGCACCAGTAGAAACTGCTTTTTCTGATAGGAAATACTACACTGTCTTCTCTGAAAGAATACCCACCATGAGGCATGGGAAAAGAAGGAAAAAAGTCAGAATCTTGGTGTGCTGTTTTGAAATGAGCCCATGGAAAACTTAACAACCTATAAGTAAGTGTGACCAGAAGCTTCCTATAATATGTTTATAGTTCAGTGGATACTGTCATTCCTCCTATTGTTAAAGAATTTGGGTCCTGGAAATTTAGGTTGTTTTCTCCTTCTACAGGGTGAGATCCATCAATGCCCTTCTGCCGAAGGGTTAGGTTAAATATAAAGACAATGAGCATGAGGGCTTTTAAAAGTAAGTTACCTCTCATGAAATGATCCAAATGAGGAGGGATCAAGAAAAAATTACTCATTGGTAAAATGACCAGACAACTGGATCATCCTCTGTTCTTTACTCTGAGCCATTTAAATGGAAGACAGGAGCAGAGACAGACAGAGAGATGGGGAGAGGAAGAGAGAGAGAGACAGAGACAGAGAAAGAGACAGAGAGATAGAGACAGACACAGAGAGACAGAGAGAGACAGAGACAGAGACAGAGAGACAGAGAAAGAGACAGACACAGAGAGACAGAGAGAGACAGAGAGTTCCCCGAAAATAATCTGAAAACGATACTGATTGAATTTAGAATTTTTTAAAGTCATATAACTTTGTTGATCTAGGTGTCCACCAAAGAGACCATCTTCACCTCTAATTCCATTTAAAGACTGCTGCTACCCAGAGAAGACAGTAACATTTGTAACCAATCTTTCAGAGAAATCGGATGAGCTGTTGGTTAGTTCGTAGAAACAGATCTCAGGCTAAGTCCTGTTTGTCAGTCAGTTTTCCTCAACCCTAAATGCACACAACTTTCTAGATAACTAGCTATTCATAGGTGTCTCTACACACTTCCTGTGATTAGGCCACTAGAATATGGCAAGGTCCCTCCACTTCCCTTTCTGTTTGTTATTTCTGCCACCAAGAAATCATTCAACTAGATTAATCGAAGGACACTAAAATGAATCCTTGGGTTAATGTTTTCTAAAAATGAAGGCGGAAGTTTGGGTAACAAAACAAAGAACTAAGATTTTATACACACACACACACACACACACACCCTTTATTAAGAAAAAAGGGAAGGACATTCCAAACAGAATCTCCATTTCTCAGGTTGTAGAGACATTTGAATTTCGATGATCAGGTTAGAGGGTCACACAATATAACATCCATGATTCGGGTTTTCCCCAACCAACAAAAGGAACTGGTCAGGACCAAACAGATTCAGGATTTTCCTAGAAACTTTGCTTTTCTTTAATTTTTGTTCCCTAAGCCTCTGATTCTGTGGGCAGCTGCTGAATCGATGTTGACTGTCAAAACATAAACTCCATACAATAAAGTTTGGCATAGTTTTCAAACCCCCTGAATCCCGAGTCCCCTTCAGAAGAACTGAAAATGCCCTCTCAAGTTATTGCTTGTAGGAAGCTATCCTGATCCTAAGTGAGGAGAGCATTAAGAAAGACAATATTTGCTTTTTTTTTTTTGCTTAATTCCAGAGACCAGCTGGAGAAGTCAGGCTGAACTCCACTGTGCCTTTGGAAGGGACTTTGGGGTTATTTGCTAACTCTGTTGCTCCCAGAATATAGTCAAGCACATTACCTCGGGATGAGGCCACATTCGAATAAAGTTCATGAGGTTTTGCCCTGGAAAATATAGCGAGCTAGAGAGGGAGGCTAGTGAATGTAGGTGGAGGATGGGATCAAATAGAAAAGTACAATCCTTTTTCCACTAAAGGATAAGCCACTGGTGCCATTTTGGAAATGGTTGTTTTCAAAATCATAGATTATGCAAATTGTCCATGATCAAACAGAGTGAGTGGCTAACAAAAGAAAGGCGGAAATCTCCTACTGACAAACGACTCATTTCTTCCCTAAATTCCCCTTTATGGAGTGTCAGGAAAAACAAACCTAAGAGCCCTGAAAGACTTTTAAGTTAGACATTGAAGATTGCATTATTTCCCCGAAAACTCCAGATCCAAGGTTTTAATGGGTGGAGTTATGGGAGGTGGGAGGGAGAGGTGCTATTTTTTCTAATTGCTAACTAGATAGACAGTTCTATCACCTTTTTAGAGCAAAAAGCACTGAAATAGTAATTCTAAAAAGAGAGGAGAAAGAGAAATGAAAAGAGAAAGAGAAAGAGAGGAAGGAAGGGGAAGGAGAAGAAAAAGAAAAGAAAGAAAGGTTCTTTTACCCTTTTCATTCAGCTCTGGAAATTCAAAGACCAGAGTGAAATCCGGCCATAAAGTTTATTGCTGAGTAATCACAGGCTGGTGAGAATAGCCCCACTGAAATAAGAAGAATGTAGAGGCAAACAGGCAGTTGAGGCCTAGCTCCCCCAGTTGGGGGTTGGGGGTTGAGGGAGAGGAAAGGATAAGATCTCAAAGGCCAGAACTCTTGGCGTCTATATTTCCAGGGATGCTCTATTGTCTTGTCTATAACATGATTTCCAGTCTCTACAATCCAAGTCTGTTGAGTGGCCCTGTAGTGGTGAAAAGTGCCTTTTAAATTGCCTCCTAGCCAGTATCTTGGTCCAGAATATTACAGAAACTGGTAGGGTAAGGACCCTTTGGATTCAGACCCTGCCAAAAATGGGAAGAATATTTCAATAGTCTCCCCCATACACACAAACACATTCCAGTCAGACAAAAAAGCAGTAACCAGATGGCTTGGGAAGTCAGCACTGCCCTTCCCAACCCTTCATACTGGAGCAGAGTACCCTGGCCCAGACTCCTTTCCAAGCTTGCAGCCTGAACCCTCCTGGTTCAGAACCCTTAGGATCCAGGCTGTCAGTCCCTACTCACCCACCATCAGCAGGGCTCAGAGAAGATTTAGCCAGATGCAGGACAAGGGCTTCCTGAGAGTCTGCTTTTCAGATCCCCCCCTCTCACACACACACATACACACACTATACACATATGCACATTCTCACACACACAAAAATCATCTTTTTGCAAACTGGAGAGACCAGACTCAGAGAGCAGCGGAAGTCATTAACATCTGCGGTAGTCCACGTAATTAAAGTTAGGCCTCAAAATCAATCTCTGCCAAAGTCACTTATCATGGTTTACTTGGATGGGACTGGTAAAAATTTCATAGCTTGCTGTTAGCACTTCTTGTTTGGGAAGGAAAGCAAGTTTGCAGGCAGATTCATAGTCTGGGTGAATTGTCCTCCTACTCTTTTGAATTCAGGGGCAACCCTTAGGATTATTGAGCCAGAGAGACAGAGACAGAGGAACTGAAAGAGAGTTAGTTCACTGTACAAATAAACTGTAAGGGACTCACGAATCAAACTTACCTTAACTTGCTAGGAGCCATTTTTCAGAGACTTTTGAGAATTCGTGGTTTGGGCACTTCTGCCCCTAAAATTGACCATTTGAATGACCAGGTGCCACATGTAGCCTGCAAAAGAGTCCAATGAAGTCCAGAGTCAGTGAGATTATATGTTATGTGGTATATAATGTTGGATGTCAACTCCCCAAAACCATAAAACTTACTTTAATGGCACCACGTGACTTTCTATAGCCAGTGAGCCTATCTGTCTGTGCTATGGATGATTTTACGATCTAATTCATAGACAAAACCCTATTCATTTGGCACCCAAATGTCATATAGCCGGAACTGGGGCTTATAAAGTTTACTGTTTTATAACTTTTAAAGGAAGCCATCAATGTAAGCACTCAGTAAATGTGCAAATCTTTAGTTGCTCTTCGAAGCTCGGAAGAGTTAACCAATCGAGCTAGGATGGGGGTAAGTAACATTACATTTGTAGCAAATTAATTGTAGCAAAAGGAGTCCTATCTGTTAAGTGTAAAGTGGGGGAAGGTGGTGATAGGATCTGGCTATGGCTAAGAGGGTTTGAGCTTGGGATCCTGGAAATACCAGTATCTCCAGCTAGTTGAAACCACAAAAGCAGTTTAAGAATGAAGTAGAGATGTTGTGAAGCCGAGTTGGGCATTTTAACAAAGGACATGATTTCTTTCTTTTTTTTTCTTTCCTATCTTTCTTTCCCCCTTTTCTTTTCTTTTTCAAAAGTAGCAAACATTTGGATAAATGAAAGGCAGGCTGTGTGACAGGGGCTTCTTCCCTGCAATTTCTACCTCTCATTCAGAAGATACTCAGTGGAAAGTTTCAGTGTCAGAGAGCTCACTGGCGGGTACACTCTAGCTATCTCCTTTGCACCAGCGGGCCCTAGCTGGCCAGGTATTCCGCTGACCCTGGGGCTCACTGCAGACCCTGAGTCTCAGAGTCTGGGGAGGGGGAGAGGTAAAGAGGAAGGACAAGCTCACCATTTGGTACAAACCAGCTCACGAGAACTTACAATAGAAAGTTTATTTTTTGTTTCCAGTCAGGTTTTTTTTCCTTTAAAAACAAATACAAAAAAAAAGAGCTTATCACAGTTTGCTTTAAACAGCCAGACTTGGACTATATTTTTAACTTTGTTCACAAAAACAGACACCACTGAAGCTGCGCGTATAAGAAGCCACTTTTTTAGGAGTTCGTGCAAAGAGTTGTACAAAGGCACAGCAAAA